CCAAGATGAAGAAAAGGCTGAGGTACTTCTTACCTTCTTTACATAGTTTTTAATAGTAGGACAAAATAGTAGGACAGGTTGTCCTCAGGCCACACCTTGAGTACTGTGCTCAGTTCTGGGCCCCTCAGTTCAGGAGGGACACTGAGGTGCTGGAGCAGGTCCAGAGAAGAGCAATGAGGCTGGTGAAGGGACTGGAGCACAAGTGCTATGAGGAGAGGCTGAGGGAGCTGGGGGTGTTCAGCCTGGAGAAGAGGAGGCTCAGGGGAGACCTTCTCCCCCTCTGCAACTCCCTGACAGGAGGTTGGAGTCAGGTGGGGGTTGGTGTCTTCTCCCAGGCAACCAGCAGCAGGACAAGAGGGCACAGACTCAAGCTCTGCCAGGGGAGGGTTAGGTTGGATATTAGGAAGAGATTTTTTACAGAGAGAGTGATCAGGGATTGGAATGTGCTGCTCAGGGAGGTGGTGGATTCACCATCCCTGGTGGTTTTCAAGCTGAGACTGGATGGGGCACTTAGTGCCATGGTCTAGTAACCACGGTAGGGTTGGACTCGATGATCTTTGAGGTCTTTTCCAACCCACTTGATTCTATGATTCTAAAATAACTTTCATGATATTCCATATTTACTTGTACTTTTTTTTTTATCAGGGTGAACAACTGTGTAGGATTCTCCAATTACAAATTTTTTCTTCTCTTCTTGGCTTACTCACTACTGTATTGCCTTTTCATTGCTGCAACAGATTTACAGTATTTTATCAAGTTTTGGACAGTAAGTACCCTGATCTACATACCATCTTTTAAGTGTGTGAATTTACCATTGGTGTGAGAAGTCTGTAAGATTCTATGGGTGCCTACAGAACAGCTGGAGAGGGACATTTTACAGGAGCATGTAGTGATAGGACAAGGTGGAGTGGCTTTAAACTGCAAGAGGACAGATTTAGATTAGATATAGGAAGGAATTCTTTCCTGTGAGGGTGGTGAGGCACTGGAACAGGTTGCCCAGAGGAGAAGTTATGGATGCCCCATCATTGGAAGTGTTCAAGGCCAAGTTGGATGGGGCTCTGAGCAACCTGATGTACTGGAAGGTGCCCTTGCCCATGGCAGGGGGCTGGAACTAGATGATTTTTAGGGTCCCTTTCAAGCCAAGGCATTCTGTGATTCCAAGGCATTACATTGTGATCTGGTATCTTGTAATGTCACGTACAAAAGCAAAAAAGATCTAGTAATCGTGGCCATCATTCTTTTTCTGTTTATCATAGTTCATGAAATTTCACATATTTGTTCATTATTTTGTAACTGTGTAGAACAAGTATGTAATGATTTAGAAAACATTTTACAAGGGAGTTTTCATTAGGTAATGTTAACTGCCTTTAGTGCTATGAATAGAAAAAGCTACAGAGAGATTTTTTTAGGATTTTAATTATGATTATCTGGGTTCACAACTTAGGCTATTAGCTTCTTAGATTTGCAATATTAATACTATAAGTATTTTTAAAATTGCTAACTAAACAACATAATTTTTGTAAAAACAAATTATTCTTCATTAAAAGGCACTTCAGAGTTCAGATCCAAATTGCAGATTTTTGTTGTCAGTATTTATAGTTTCTCCAAAAAAAACCCCAAACATTTATTCATATCCTTGTTGTGTTGTACATTTGCGTCTCCACTGAATTTGATTTGGTTGAATAGTGGATTATTAATAATCAAATTAAACAGCTATTTCCCCAATTTTAACGGTGTAATTATTTTTTATTTTTAGAATGGCCTTCCTGATACTCAAGCCAAGTTCCACATCATGTTTTTATTCTTTGCTGCAGCTATGTTTTCTGTCAGTTTGTCTTCCCTCTTTGGGTATCACTGTTGGCTTGTCAGCAAGAATAAATCTACATTAGGTAAGTAGACTCAGTGCTTCTGTGTTTGACAGCAAGAAATAAATAATGAATGTTTATTACATGTACAGGTGTAATATAAAAAGCAGGCAGTCCCACACAGGTTCCTTGTATCCTGGGTAGAATTGCCCAGATCTGACAGTGTCCAGTACTGACTCACCAGTTCTGCTGCCTCCTGGAAATTCTGAATCTTTCCCTCTTCCCCCAAAGGGCCAAGTTATTAATGAACTTACACTCTTCCTCTCACTGCTTTCCATCCACAGCTTGTTAATAGAAACTGAGTAAACTAAAAACATGAAGATAGAATGGAGATAATTTTCTAAGAAATGGTAGACAAACTAATGCATGTATTCTTCATAAATAAAAGGAAGTGCAGAAGATCTGAGTGCCTGATCTGTATTATATCCTGGACTGTAATAATGCCAATTTGCAATAGAGTCATTAAAGTTTCTAAATCTCTAAATGCTTTTCAGCGGATATAACTGAATTAGATCAATAAGCCATTACTCTGTTTATTCCAGTTCTCTTTGGATTTACTAATATGTAGATGACTAAGGGAAAACACTGAAAATAGATCTATACATCAATGGAAGAAAGCTTGTTTACTTCAAGATTTCTCTAGGGTTTGTAGATATCTTCAGAATCTGACAAATCATTGACTTAGTATTGGGAAAAAAATTGTTCAATCTAGTTATAAGTGGAGAAATGTTTTATTAAAGATACTTAAATGAAGTGAAGTAATTAAGGATTCTCTTTATAAACTGGCCTTATAATTTAAGTGCAAAAAATTGTTCCAAGGTACCCATAATACAGTACACTTCTAATTCAACATTTCATGTTTTCAAAACAAATTGCATTCCATACAGGTAATATACCACGTTTTCTGCATACTTAAGCTACTTAAAAAAGATATTTGTCTCTTCTTCCCATTTTACTTTGACCAGTTGCTCAATATGTGAAGCCCTAAACATGCAATAGTTTGGTAATGAAGCCATGAGAAATTGAAGTGTAACTGTGCTTAAATCACCCTGGGATCTGTTTTCCTAGCCTAGCATGGGCATCTGAAAGTGTGTCTTCATTTTCCTTTCCCCCTTCTTTAAAACCCCTTGTAATGAATGTATACTGCCTGTGTGAGGTTATTTCCAGCAGTTCATAGCTAAGGTTTTACTGCAGAAGGACAGTTTCAGCATGGTTCCGAGATGATTTGTGGGAGCTGTACTGTCAGGACATCAGGATGTAGTTTGCCTACTATATATAGCCAATTAAGGGAATTAAATGCCTATCAGTCACTTGGTGGAAAGTGAATGAATTTTTTGCTTCAGGCACTTTGTAATGGTTGAAGCTATATTTAGAATAATAGAATTTTAGGGGTTGGAATGGACCTTACAGATCATCTAGCCCCAACTCACCCTGCCATGGGCAGGGGGACACCTCCCACTAGATCAGGTTGCTCAAGGCCTCATCCACTGCCAGGGTTGGAGCAGCTACCACTTCCCTGAGCAAACTGTTCCAGTGTCTCACCACCCTTACAGGAAAAAACTTTTTTTTAATGTTTAACCTAAACTTATCTTCCTTCAATTTGAACCCGTTACCCCTTGTCCTATCATTGCAGTTGGCAACAAAGAGTCCCTCTCCAGCTCCCTTGTAGCCCCTTCAGATATTGAAAGGCTGCTGTGAGGTCTCCACACAGTCTTCTCTTCTTCAGGCTGAAGAGCCTCAACTTCCTCATCCTGTCTTCATAGGGGAGATACTCCAGTCCTCTTATCAACTTCGTGGCCTCCTCTGGACTTGCTCCCACAGTTCCATGCACTTCTTGTGTTGCAGGCATGAGAACTACATGCAGTATTCCAGGTGAAGGGAAAAATAACCTCCTTTGACCTGCTGGCCAC